TATAAGTGAAAGATGAAATCACAATTGAGACACTTACAGAGTTGTTAAGAGCCAAAACGGCAGCTTCCACATCTTCTTCTGAAGAAAAGGTTACGAATCCAAACCCCGTAGATTTCGAAGTTCCGGGTACCCTCGAAACCTTAGCACTTAGTACTTTGCCTTTCTCTGAAAAGAAATTCTCAAGCATCTCTTTTGTAACAGTCTTAGCTAGATTTCCTACATAGACTTTGTAAGGACTATCTACAAATGCAGAATCTTCAGACTGAAGCAGTGATAAATCAGGAGTTGATGCTAATGGTTTCTCTGTAATGTTAACCTTAATCTCACGTCCTTCAATGCTCTGAGCAACAAGAAATTAAGAAGCTTTTTGTCATTATTTTCAGAATCTAAAGAATGGTGAAATGATTCCAATTCAACAAAATCTCACCTTGCCATTCAATTTCTCAACAACAGCATTTGCATCTTCAACTGATTTCATTGTAGCAAATCCAAATCGACGGCTTCGTCCTGAATACTTATCATACATCACCTGATGAAACAAATCAATCCACATACAAGTACACATCAAAATCACAAATCTTGATTGATAAAACTGGCTATTCAAGTAAGAAGTCGAGAAAGAAACAAAAACCTGGACTTTTTCAACAGCACCGTGTTCTTCAACGAGTTTAGTGAGCTGTTCATTGTCTACAGTTCTGGGTATGTTTCCGATGTAGACACGCCTGGAGGATTCCAAATTAGGGTCAAGAGTGGCTTTTTCTTCTGTCTCCATGACCGCATGAGGAACGAATCTCATCCTGGAGCTCCGTGGAAGAGAGATGGAGATGGTTCCGGTGAGAGAAGGAAAGGGTTTTGGGGAGTATACATTGGTATGCGTCTGTAATGAGGTGAAGGATTCGGACTTGAAGGAGAAGATTGTAGGTTTGATTGAAACAACAGCTGTTAGGAAAGTAGCCATTGTCGGAGAGAATGAAGGTATATCGATAAGGAAGAAGATGTTTGGGTGCTATCAACATTATCCATTAGACGACGACTCTCACTTTCTCATCTCTGTGAACCATTGGGCCTAATCCAGGCTTCAGATTTGGGCTTACTAAAGTACAAACATCTCTACAGATCAGAATGGTATGATGGGCCAGACCGGTTCAGCCCATTTTAAAACCGGCACTGCCCGTGGACCATGGTCTGGTCCGCGGGCAGACTCTACATCACCAAATGTAAAGTAGATTAGTGATGGAATTAGTGGGTTAACCGTGACCGTGGTGGGTTTAACCTTCAACGGGTGATACAAGACACAAGCCGACCACATGAAAACATCCCTGCTGACCACATGTGGACCTCATCTTGGTGGTAGACGAACAGAAGAGTAACCAAGCGATATCTAATTCCAAAATGGTATTTACAAAGAGATTGCTGATCAAATTTTCCCTAGGGACTTGGTTGATGATCTATGTTTTATATTTCTGTATCCCTGAACCAAAATCCTAACACATTAGGATCAGGAAGAAGACCTGTGGAACAAGAAGCCAAAGACCAGATTCGGTTAAATCAAAAGCGTAAATTGTGAGCTTATTCTAGTTACTAGAGATATCAATGATGTTTTTTGTGGGATAAAATTACATCCGTAGAAAAGCGAGGGAAAACAAAAAAGAAGACCAGACATATCTGGAAAGGGGACATTTACCCAAATCGTATGGTAGGGAAGAGAAGAAAGCTTGTCGTACAAAAGCCAACATGTAATAAAAATCAGCAAAAGTAGTAATCGCAATTGAGAGACAACCAACTCCACTACTTAGAATCGTGCACTTTCTTTGTTTTCAAAGCTCCCTACTTTTGTTTATTTTTTGGCTTTTTGCTTCTTCCTATCCAAAGATGTTAAACCAGCACCTAATCCCGCGGGAGCCAGGTTCGACGTTTTCCCGTTTTCGGAGGATTCTTTCTTCTCTTCTACCTTTGCCTCCCCATTTTCCCCACCTTTCTCAGAAGTTTCTGCTGTTCCTGAATTGACCCTTTTTTGAAGTTGAGGGAGTGGTGGCATAGCTTGAACTGGAACACCACCATGGGGGCGAGCCAGTAGCCCCTTAGCAGTTGCTTTCTTCCTAACTTCAGCTGCTGCACGAGCTGCTCTTTCATCAAAACCTCTGCCCCGAGGTTGAGCCTCCCCGAGGACAGCCGCGTTCAGTGCATTAGACCTCCCAGTAGCTGCTGCGTTTTGGAACGCATGTATCAGGTCCGGATGTGCCTATTTCATACCAATAAGGAAAACAATTTCATTAATACTTGGAGCCTAATCAAACGGAAATGTATGCCAACTCTATAACAAACGAGTTTGTGATTTTTCAGCAAAAATATGCCAAAACCTAAAAGCTGCAAGGAAGATACCTTCAAGAGATCGATAGCCTTTTGCGTGTTGGCCGCATTGGCTGCTTGTCCTTTCTGCTTTTGTGCATTCATCTGATGCAAAACCCAACCATAAATTTGAGAAATATAAAGATGTATACATAAATAAAGATGCACTCATCAGTGATCATCGTTGCACAAACCTGGAGCTCACGCATCTTAAACGTCTTCATCCAGTTTAGAGAGTCTTTTGTCCTGGAATCATCGTCTCCCAATTGTTTGACAAGTATATCATAGGTTTTCTTCTCATGCTGACCAAAACAAAACAGTTGCTTCAAAAGATGAGACAAAATAGAGGATTCAAAAGCCTTGTAGAAGTTGTAATACCTGGTGTGAGAGCTTGAATGCACCCATACAGTTGAAAGCAATGGCAAGGGCGTGGTAGCATACTGCAGTCTGAATGTGTTCAGGGCCAAGGAGTCTCTCGTTTTTCTTCAAAGCCTCTTGAAGATAACGTAATGCTGTGTCCATTTTTCCCATATCTTGATACATCATGGCAACATTTATAAATGTAGCTGCAACATCTGGATGATCAGGGCCAGATGAAAGGCCAAGTAGCAGCAAGGCACGACCCATGTTTTGTAGAGCAAGCTCTGTCTGATTAAGTCCATGATAGAAAAGAGCCATATTGCCATAGCTGCAGTTCAATTACGTCACGTTAGTCAAATATATCAAACCAAAGAAATGAAAAAGAGTATATTGCAAGTCATGACTTCGAAATGGCAGTCAACTGGAGTACTACTTCGAAGAAATTGAGGAAGAGGAATCACATTCGTTTAATTAAATTCAGTTGCAGGGATGACAGTTTAAAGCCCACTCGCCCCTAGGTTACGATAATGTCTGATCCAGAATATTTGAAGCAAGTGAAATGCTGAAGGTTCATCAGGTTTCAACTCAAAACGACTTACATTATCAGAATAAGAGGAAAATAGTTGGATACCTGTGAGCAGTATCAGGATGGTCCAAACCAAGGCATCGCTCATTTATGATTAGTTCCTTGTGTTGCTGCATTATGGCCCCAGCCATATCTCCTGCATGGTACAAAACCATGGCCAGGTACCTGAAAATCGAAAAAAGACAAATATCTTAAGGCAACTAAAACAGAAGGCCGCAGATAAAAGCCTTACGCAAACAGAAAATCGGTGGAACATCAGATAATTTTCCAGAAAAACAAAAGTCAGCCAGAAGACGCATTACCTGCAGCAGTTTGCAACTTCCCTGTGCATTGGACCAGTCACCTGGAATCAGATGAACATGATAAGCACCTTTGGGTTTTTAAAATATTTGGACAGTCCCAGATGCATAAACGGACCACTTACCTGTTGAAGTATTGAAAAAGCCTCTGAAAAAAACGTGTAGGATTCACTAAGCATGCCCTACAAAAGATAAATCATTTTAGTATTACAAGGCAATGACTGTTGGCCACAGTATGAGACGGACACTAAAACAAGAAGCTTATTGATCTTTGACTGCCAAACCCAAATCGTGATAGTACTCTCCCGATCTAATCCAATACAACATATTGGCAAAATTTAGCAAGGCAGAAGTATTCCTACTATCAAGATGTAACAGCCTAGATATATACAACAAAGTGTAACCACATATAGATGAGTTATTGGCCTATTGTGAAATAAGAAAGCTACCTCAGCCAGTTGGACCTTCCCCATCTCAACGAGATCTTTAGCCTCAGAGCATACAGGGACAGAATGCTTAATTACAGGCCAAAGATCCAATATATCTGTCGTTTCAAAAGGCGAGGTTGCACTAAAATCATATTTGCGAGCAGCAATACTGATACCAACCTGTAACAGAATGGAGGGATTAATACCAATAGTTAACTGGCCTAATTTGGGATTCCCTGGTAAATAAATTCTGAAGGAACAAGAAATGTGTCTCTAGTTACCTTTTGGCAAAGGTTACGAAGAACAGGTATTTTTTTAGCCATAGTTCTTGATAGCTCGGGCAACTCAAACTGGAAATAAGCTCAGATTAGCTTCAGGTGCTTAATTTCCTAATGACTCTTTGCTTAAGATAATGAATAAACAGCTTACCTCATATTTGGTTTTGGCAAATTCCTGAATGTCAGACCATAGAATGTTAGAGTCAACCATCATATACGATGATAAACTTTTCTTTGCAGAAGCTTTTCCTTTTCCTCTTCCTTGACCCTTCTTGGTGACAGATTGATCCTGTCCAAATTCAAGGGTCAGAACCATTCAGAAATTAAAAAAAAAAAACATGATTTTTTCATGACAAACTTACTGAAATCTCATAATTCAAGATGAACAAACAAGATACTATATATAAACAAACTCTGATACTACACGAGAACCTTCTTTTGATTCTTGGCATGCACGCTGTTAGCGCTAGCTTTTCCCCCCGCAGCTTGATAGTTTCCAAAGAAACAATTGAGGAAATGTGAGACTGCTGCTCCAATATCATGATCCTCTATATCTCTTAGAATGTCCTGCATAACCATGTAAGAACTTTAAATAATAATGAACAAACATCAATTCTTCAAATCTTGCAAAACAAACTTGCAGGGAAAGTAACATTATAACTACACGCTTGTACACTGATAATACCCTAAACTCATGTTCACCATGTTTATTGTAATATGATTTTTACAATATTCGAAATTACCTTCAGAATGTGCTTTGCGGATCTGACAGTAATCTCATTCAGACAAAGATCCCACAAATGAGGCAAATGCTTCACACCATTAGCAACCTGGTCATGTACAGCCACTGTTAATAAAGTCAAGTATGGAGATAGCTAGCAAAATATTAATGACAGGCGATGAACTTACTCTTCCAATATAACGAACATTAACACCATGAGCATGGAGTGCTTCAGTCAAAGTCTGACCATCCATTGGAGAAACTTCAAGACTGCAAAGATCTTCTATAAATTTCGGAAGAACCACATCCACAAGGTATGAGCTAACTTTCTTCACATTTGCTTCATCAGCAGCTATCTCCTGGTTAATAAAAAACAGAGCTAATCAGTTAAATAAATTTTAAGAGATGATCTGACTACAAATAACGTATAAGCAACATAGCCTACCTCTTGATTGCCACCTAATGTGAAGTCAGTGAAGACATTGGGGTTAAATGCTATTTCATCACATGATTTGGAAGTTTCGGAAGAACCGGCTGCAGAATCTTCGGTGGCGGTATCTAGCTTTTCTGTAAGAGTTTTCTGTAGAGAACACGCAGATATCACCAATTACATTTTCCTTTAACTCAGATAGATCTGTTCTCAGACATTTATATTCAACAGTAGCAAGCAAAGATGCAAAAGAATCTCAAAGCAAAAATAATAGAGGAATGAACCATCCAGCCCAATTGTATCTGCACAGCAAATATTCAGTATAGGTCTACGAAAGTAAAATAGTTATTTTCTTAATTGCTACAGGGCCAATCCTATTTGCTATTTTGCTGTCTGCTTTTTCACTTGACAAACATTCTACGTCTATGAAAGCTAAAAATGAGACACAGAATCACATAAACTAGTAGGAGGCAATGCACACAAGAAAGAGGGTATATCAAGCAGATGTGAAATGCTATATGTCAGCATAGAAAGCCAACATGAAATATAGAGGTCAATCAGTACTAAATAATCTTAATGCACACATCTAACAGGACCAAGAAGGGAAACATATACCTTATCAGAAGTTGAAGCCCCATTTTCCTCTGCATGGATCAATGCATCACCAACTTTAGAAGTATCAACACTAACATCAGAAGGATCAGAAACGATATCGGCTCCTTCATCAGTCTTGGTTTTTAATTTTGATTCAGCCTTCATGATCAAAATATGAAGTCAAAGGAAGACACAAGTAAATATGCTTCTAACGAATAAAGAATATGTACCTGACAAAATGATGTTATCAGTTCTGGTCTGAGGACACAAAAGCGTGACTCTGGACCTGTATAATTGGCGTCACGGGGTGTCACTCTCATCAAGTCCAAGAGGTAATGTCTGTTGTCAGACCCAACAATTCCCTTGCACTCTACTGGAGCAGCCAACTTGAAGACATTTTCGGATGCATCAATAACAGAATGTTCCTTTATGTGAAGAAGCTTTGCAGCTTCTAGCACCTACAGAAGAAAATAAATCAGGACTAAAGCTTAGCTCCCACAAAGATAAAGATACATAATGGACTAATATTAGAATTTTCACATTAACGCCTACGGTATCTAACATCAAGACATACTATATCCACACCTTAGCATGGAAATCTTCATTCCAGCATATTTTCTTCCCATTATCGACTGAGCCATACAAAAGAGCATCTGATTTATCCCCTTGAAGGATTCCCGGTAGAACACTCTAAAACACACATGAAACACGTTGCAACGATGCTATTAAAATTCACACTAGGAAGATATATATAATCTCAAGAAAAAAAGACTTGGAAGTTCCAGTATTAACACAAACCTGAGCAACAACCCTATGACCCCTGTAATCAATAATGGCCATTGCCAGATTATATAACCCTGGGACGTCTGCTTCTTGATATAACTTTGTGCCTTTCAAGTCATTGTTTGCAGAGGCATACGTTGCTTGCTCATTTTCAACAAGCGGCGCCTCATGACAGCTGTTAAGCTCCTCATTATTTTCTCCATCGCATGTTCCATCTGTGCATGGAACCTTGTCAGATGACGATACCTTCTCACTCACTGCAAGATTATTCGATGGACGTTTCTTGGATAGCTGTTCAATGTCGGCATCAACAGCAAAACTGAAAAAGATATTGTTGTGCACGTACCTACAACAGCGGAACAATACCAAGTGTTCAGTATAAAAAAGCTGACGCATAAACCCAAACATGTAAACATCCAAACGCTCTGTCATTTTAAAATGTTTATAAAAAAGAACGAGTTATTCACACTGAGCTAGAAACAATTAAACATAAGAGTGACTATCGAGAACCAACAAAATAGACAAAACGATTCACACTGACATGTGCAAACACTCTGGATCAGTTGGATTTATGGGTGGTATACAACGGCTGATTACACCAATTGCTCCATTAAGCGCTGCATCGACAAAGTCCGACGACACTTTGTAAAGAGCCCTGTCACGTAAGATCCTGCAAAGAAAGAAATACTGAATACCTGAAGCAACCTACAAAAGGAACAGAATTCCAAAAGAAAAAGTTTCATGTTACCGAAAAATCACTCTAGTCAAATATCACACGTACCTTTCCTGAGGACTAGTGTGAGGGAACTCTCTGCAAGATTGCAACTCCTCATTCCAATCTCTTTGCATACCAATCAGCTCACTACCATAAGAAATGGTCAAAGCTTCCTCCGCCCTCGCTGCATCACGCTTGTGATCTGAGTCCAGATACAAGTGCATGCTCAGTTATAACAGAAATGAGTCTTATTTCAAGTGTATCTATGAGGAAATCAGGAAGCAAAGGATGATTAGTTTTGAATTTCCTAGCTTATCAATCCCATACAACAAGAACTTATCTTCTCATACATCAATAGTTGTAAGCAGAAGCACATCTTCTACATGTAAAACAGAGTACGCTGTCGATAAACAACCAACAAAATTGACCATGAACTACATATAAATTAATTTACACAAACTCGTTTGAAAAAAAACACATCAAAATGACTATCTTCCTAGATTGTGCAAGATACGACTTTGCCCTTAAGATGCAGTCACGAAGGGAATGCTAACTAGAGAAAGACTTCAAGGATATATTGCAATTTACAAAATCAAGATCAAAGCGAAGCTTTCTTTTGAATCAGGGGTATTTCAACCTTCAACCCCACTACTCGTAAGGTTGCCATGTGAATATCTCAGAACCATTATTGGTGCTTATAACTGGGGAAAACGCGAAGAAACAGCCTCTAAAAGAACCAGCCGAGCCGGTCACAGAAGGAAAGAGCCAAGATACTAAACCATATTACTGTGCAGCACGCAAAAGTATTTTACAATAAATAAGTTACATCTGCCCAAAACGGATGAGGACTCAAATGCTATTAAAGTCAAACTCACCAGGAACAGGATATGATCTTAGCCATGAGTGTGGTGGCAAAAGCGATTGGACATTTTCAAAGGGATGTGCAGAGGCTTTCTTTTCCATGACTTCGCGGAAAGCTTCAAAGTCAAAGGAAATACAAAAGATAATCAGCAGATTGAATGATAATTGTCAAGTCATAAAAAGAGTAACGAATAGACTAAGAGGAATCATGTATATACTGTTTCCCACCTTTTTTAAACTTAGAGCTAAGTTTTTGCAATAATCCAATAAGAGTAGCTTCAAAACCAGATTTACTTGGCCTTGGATCGAGAACATTCTCTGAGCTAGAATTAACATAAAACGCCTTTGTGGTACCCGTAATGCAGTATTTGTTACCTTCCAACGTCACAACATCCAAATATATTAAATCTCCTACAAGCCTGGCACAAATGAATTGATGAGATAAAACATAATTGGTCAACTCAAGTCTCCACAAGTGTTAAAAGCAGTTGCTCTATACCTTCTGTGGCTTGGAGGAGGATTGAACGATGAGAAGACGATGTTCTCCACACACTTGATCTCTTCTGTTGGAGAATTTATTAACTTCCTGAGAGACCCGGGCACATCTTCCATAAAACCTAGACTGTCAAGCTCTGGAACATCAGATTTCGGTTTATCTGTTTCAGAAAGAGACCAGAATTTGATTGTTTGCAATGCATGGAAAGCAAGATTATCAAAGCAAACCACCATTAAGGATAATAAAATCTGAAACCTCCAGGATTCTGAACTTTGTTCAGTGCCGTATCATACTGCAATGCAAGTGTTGTTGACAGGGAAGAGTGGAGTGTCGAAAGGGACAGAAGATCTCTAGCACGGTGAACATGAGCCCTGATCGATCTATCGTCATACAACGCTGTGGAAAAAAATTAAATATCAAGTCAACAGCAATTACTTTCAGCCCAAATAAAATGAAGGACAAATTGGTCTTAGCATACCTGCAACCATTTCCAATGTGCAACCACCACTGGTGATGTCAGCTACTTCAGATATCTCATTGTAGTCCTCCAGATGGTGAGTCTCTCCATCCTTATTACGGAGCAATAGCTCGTAGCATGTGAAGTAGCATGTCTCTGGAGCATCAAGAAGGAACTGCCTTATATCCATCACTGAGTCTCCAGGGTTCAACTGCAAAACAGATCCATTGAACAGATTGAGTAACTCGCTCCAATGGATAAATGAGAAAAGCAGCAGGAAAGTAATGCAATATAAGAACTAAAGCCCTGGAAACTCATAAGAAAGATGACAGGCAATAGTATTTAAGGGGAAAAAAGAAGAGAAAAATCAACTCACTTGTAGCTCCATTTTACTCCCACTCTGTGTTTTGACAGAAACAGGATAAAGACGAAGTTCACCTGTGAAAGCCAAGCATATCAAAACACTGAAAGCAATACAAAGGCGGGAAGAAATGGATGAATCTGATTGTCTTAAGAGAAAATCGGGAGATAAGATAAATTGGGTGCTTCCTATAAAACCCATAAAGAGCTAACCTTGCTTAGGTTGGGAATCGTTACTTGCTACTTGAGATTCGCCATCGTCAGCCTTAGGAACCGGAGGAGGAGTCTGATTGGCTTCAGGCACGGCAGAGTCAACAGCTTCGACGGTTCCATTATCGGGAACCGACGCAGTAACAGGAGCAGGAACAGGAACAGCAGGAATAGCTTCGGCTTGAGCGGCGGACTCAGTGGAACTAGAGGCAGAGCTCTGAGCAGCTCTCTTAGCCTTCGATTTGTTCGACTTCCCAGCCATTTCACCTACCGAAATGAACAATACAGAGAAGGTTATCCAGCGAAGTAGCAGAAACAGATCAAGAGGAAGTGCAAAGCAAAACGAAAACGATGAAGAAGTGATTGAATAGGAGAATCTCGTTCAAAAAATAGCAATACAATCCAAAAAGGGGAAAAAGTCGCAGATATGAAATCAACGGTGGGGGAAGGGGAAAAGACCAATTCGAGAGAGAGTAATAATGGAGGATCTAAGTGTAAAATACCTTGAGAGGACAAGAGAAATGGGATTGCGGCGGAGACGACGGAGAGGGCGGCGGAGTAGGAAAGAGATGAGGTTTAAGGAGGGTTGAAGTGAAAGAGGCGGCTGATGATGTTCTGACTCTCTCTATGCGTTACATAGAGTTAGAGCTTGAGTACTAGGAGAGAGAATGACCAAACCATCCCCTTTCCCTTTGGGCTTTTTCATTCTTTGGGTTTTGTCTATATTGGGCTTTTTCTTTACGCGGGAAATATGCGCAATTTATTGCAAGTCATCTGTAATTAACCCATGCATTACCCCCCCCCCCTCCCCCACCATTTGATAACGATGAATTGTTTTAAAATATTAAATGTTGTATATTTTCTTACTTTATTTCCTAACCACACATTTACCATTGAAACCACAAAAATAGAGCTCGACAAAAATAGAGCTTGACTGGCAGAATATTTTAAAAAACATTGTCTTTTATCATTAAAATTTGATTGGTTGACAGAGCATTAATATCGATCCAAGTTTTTTTCCGTTGTAAAAAAAATATTCTGACAATGGATGTAAATTTTGTGACCATGATCAAAGATTAAAAGCTCTAAGGACTAGTTGGAAACACACGGACTAGTCGTGGGGATAATTTGGTTGTGAGGTAGAAGAGAGGTGTGAAACGGCATGACATGAATCTCCTAACCAGTACATGCATATAAAGAAGCATCTATACTCGTTTGCATCATCTCACTGTTATACTACTATTTTCAATGATGATGAAAGCTATGAGAGTTGGGTTACTAATGGCACTGTTCCTCATGACCATAGTCACGGCACAGCAAGAGGACCAGCAACCACCACCACCCATGTTGCCCGAGGAAGAAGTGGGAGGTTGCAGCAGAACATTCTTCTCTGCGCTGGTGCAGCTTATACCGTGTAGAGCAGCAGTGGCTCCTTTCAGCCCAATCCCACCTACCGAGACATGTTGCTCTGCCGTTGTCACACTTGGTCGTCCTTGTCTTTGCCTTCTCGCTAATGGACCTCCACTCTCAGGCATTGACCGCTCCATGGCTCTTCAGCTTCCTCAGAGATGCTCTGCTAATTTCCCTCCCTGCGATGTCATTAACTAGGACCACATCTACCATATCTTTTTCATTTACCTTTCACTCTTAATAAAATTATGCTGTTTAGTGTGTCATGTCTCAAGACTTCAGAAACATTAATAAAGATATGAGAATAGGATCGTAATCTCAGTCATTTCCAATAACATATCCATTGTATCCCAGCTAATACAGCTCTATTTGCACACAAGGATTTTCAAAGAACACAAATCCAATCCATACCAACACTTCAATTTATCAGCAATCCAAAAACTTGAAACATTTTAAAAAGAAAAAGCAAGTTTAGCCGGAGCTGGGGTGGGGAGATAACTCATGAATGTGCATGGCACAGCACGTTGATTGATCCTTAATAATACGCCTTCCTGGGATTTCCCTGTAAAGCCAATTGAGACAAAATGTGAGAGAGGAAGTGCTATTACAAAAGAATGGGAGCAAAAGATGTTAAAAGTACCAGGGGATTAGGTCTGTGTTTGTAACCCAGCATCATTCGCTTCTTGTACTGTTCGTAAATATCATCCTCAGGCTTAACCTCTCCTGGAGCAGAAGCCCCAACTCCCAAGTTGTTCGTCTTAATATCCCCTGCCATTATAGGGTCTGCCATACCCTTTCTAGAGCTTCCTATACCTTCACCTGTAATCCACTCCTCCAATTTTCTAAGCGCTTTGCCTCCACAAAGGCACAATATACAGAAAGAAACAAAGGCACAAGTTTACAGATAGAGCAAGGCGAGTAAGCACCTTCTTTCCAACCCATTTTTGACAAGAGCTTATGTCCAACATTATCTGCTTGGATCTTGGCCTTCTCCGCTGCCTCCTTTGTGGCTTTTTGTGCAGCTGCATCGTTACACTTTGCAAGGAACTTATCTAGCTCCTCAACTGGGATATAATCACCCATATGATGACCTCTCTTTCCAGGGTCTGTGGAGGGAGTTGCTGAAATCAAAAGTGGTTGCGAAATAAGACATCACAGCTGCCCAAAACCAGATATAGCAATAGGATTCATTCTCACCGGATGGGCCTTGAAGTGAAGCTGGCGGGGGCATTTCATCTTTTGACTGTCTAGGACGTCTCATCTTCTCTTCTTGGGCAGCCTTCTTCATGTAAAACTCCATCATTGATATAGGGTCTGCAGCCCTCGACCCACTAAAGGAGTCACCTGCCACTTACATACATGTTACCCACAATCAAAGCTAGATGCAAATGATAAGAGGAGACCTATGCTGATAAAAGGCTAACTGACATACTGTTGCTAGGTCTTGTAATTGATGCTTGAGCAGATCTAGAGGAAGCTCTAGGTTCCTCAGGGGCATCGTAGAGAGCAGAGGCAGGGATCTGATAACCTGTTTGTTGCTGAGCTGGCTTTTGCAAAGTGATTGCTGCTGCAGATGCCCGCGGCCCTGAATCACCTGGAAAGATAAAACGAAGGAAACCGGTGTTCAGAATACATCCAGATACGTATGGTGGCAGGAAAAGTAGCCTCACATTATTTCACATACTACATAAGATATACAAATTCATATCGTAGGAAAGTCTGGATTTATATTGGAAATAAAAGAAATAGGACAAATATTCATTGCACATGCTTAGCTAAGCATATTCTGTAAATAAATGAATACATTAAACGAAGCAAAACCAGTTGCATGATTTTTTATTTATACAAGCACAGGTACCAAGCATTTACCACTGTGAAGAACACCAGATTCCTTGGTTTGTGAAATAGATTTTTCCTCTTCAGCCAGCCTGAATGCATAGTACTTGTAGTCCGCACAGCTTTCGTCAAAAAGAAATCTGGTTGGGAAACAGGACACAAGATACACAAGGTCAACAAACCCAGAAAACCCAAGTACTAAATTAGTAATGTGTATAAAAGAGAGAATCCAGAAACATTAAACTGTAAATGCTCCAAAAGCAATGAAATACATACTTAAATGGTGTATCCCCGGGATTTTTTTGCCGTGTAATATGCTCAAAGGGCCTTCCATGCTTAGCAACAAAGCTTGCTAGTTTATCAGCAACTTTCTTCACAGTAGGATCACTGGGCGAAGGTGGTGCTGCATATCACTTATAAAACTGATTAATACCGAGTCCATGAACAACGAATGCAAATCACTCTTGTAGCAGGCGTGGAGATATTCCAAATCTTTCCAGCAATTGGATTGTTGGTTAAGGAAGACACTGCATTAAGTACACAATTAAATTTCCAGACTGCTTTGCCCTCTCCATTCCAGAGAAAAAATGTAGCCTCATAAAAAAAGACGTACTCAAACAGAAACTTAGGACTCTTGACATCTTAGGACTAACAGCCCTAACTTAGTTTCAAATAAGACACACAGATTCATCAATAAAGACATGCAACAAACAGGACACTCAGGATTCTTGACATCATATGGCATAATTGTTGATAACCCTCCTGGAGCACTTGGTATATAGAACAGAAACCCCCTTACACAAGAACATGGAACCAAAACACAGCAAGACATGTAGAA